CCCCAAAACCCCAAAACCCCAAAACCCCAAAACCCCGTATCGTACTTAAATCATTGAGACACTAATTATTAGATTAGTAATAACAAATATGGACTTCACCAATCACATTTTCGAACATGAAAATTTACCAGATGAACTCCTCAGTGAAGGGGTAGCTTCTTCTGAAGTTCGAGGATCAGACAAGATCCTTAATAATATGAAAAGAAAGTCTTTTACTCCTGACAAAAATAATCTTGCTGAAAAATTTGAGTTTGTGCCTTGAAAGACTCCCAAAAATTTCTCAAAGGAAAGCTTTGATCAAAGTGGGGAAAATTTTTGAAAGAAAACTAGAGCTAAATCGTATTATAAGGATGAAGAGCCTTTTAAATATCTCAAAAAGAGTCCTACCAAGTCATTAAATGAAAGCCCAGAAGAGATACGAAGTTTGAAATCTGATATTAGCAGCCTATTAAGGCAGGCTGCTCGGTTACGAAATAAATCAAAAAAAATTCTACAAAGCCCCAAGATTAGTAAAGAAGAATCCTCCTTGAAGGCTGGTGATTGATGTTTTGTCACAATGAAAGATATTGGAACTCTCTAAGCTCAGAGCACTCTAATAATAGTTTTAATAAACTTTTGATAATCTTCTTACTGGACTATTATTTTCTTTTCCCTTTTTTTTCTTAAAATTTGTGTACTTGTAATCTATGGTTGGAAAATCTGAGCTCAAATGTCGCTACTAGCATTATTTCTTGCTTTCTTCAGTCCTTATAGAGTTCTGAAGATAAGATATGATCAAAACTAGAAAATTATTATTAATATTCAGAAGAGTTAATATTAAAATTCATTTTATGAACTTAATCTGAAATTATATTCACCTATGCAATCAGACCTTTGATTTGCTGTTTAATAATATCTATTAATGACTTGACTAATAAAAAGAACTTCTAAGTATTTGTGTTACTTTATTGGTCAGTTTCGATTTTATCAAATCCATATGGCCACCAAAGTATCAAATATCGATATTATTTTCCCCCAAATTTTGACAATAATTAGCAATGAGGTATTTAATAATATCACTTAATTCAGATTCTTTTTGATTCAAATAACACCGTACTTCTGGCTTATTGTCTAAAGATGTCTTTTCGGAACTTTATAATACACAGAAATCAGAACTTCGTCTCAGTATTTTTGAAGTTTTTAGATGCACTACCTTGGACAAATAGAACCCTTATGAAGAGAATTACTTCTTAAAATACTAAGAAGGACGCTCCATAAAGTAAACACATTTCTAAGTTCTTCTATCTTATTTTGTGCTCAAATTTTGAGTGTAGAGTTTGCTCAAAATTTTTGGAACCTTCAACAAACCTTCAGGTTCTCATAATCAAGAAGGCTCATATTGAATTGCCAGATGTCTTAAAATTTTCATACTCATAATCCAAATTTGATGAACTATAAAAGCTCGAAAATGGAGAATTTCCAAGCCTCATTACTGAAAATAATCAGGAGTACTAAAATTGATGCCAAAATTCCTTCAAAGACTTGTGCTCATCGAGTAAATAAAACCTCTTAATTATGCTAACCTCTTTTGTTACTGTTTCCAACAATCACCCATATTTCGAACTTAAAAAATCTCTACACACAATCTGAACATCTTCTGCAAGTATTTTCTATCCTAGAAAGCCTACCAATCTTGCTAAATACCGATGCACAGGATCAATGGAGCCGACATTTTTACGAAATATCGGTTCTGGTGCTAATCATTAGCTAAGTTTCAGCCAGAAGTTATCGCCACAATACAGTTACAGAAGAATGAATCTAATGGAGAACCAATAAATTGTAAATATTTATATAAGCTCTGAGAAGATGAAAGATAGTCTATCTGGGTGGGGTCCTTGGGCTAGGAGTAGAGACGAACTGTGGAACTGTTAGTTTAAGAGGTTATTATGTAATTTTCAGGAGAAATTTATTGAGAACCTTGCTAAGCTAATTGGAATAACTTGAGGGTAGACTTAGAGGAAAGCAAGAAGTTTGCTCAATAATGTGTTTATATAGAAAGATTGATTGCTATCTAAGTTTCATATTTTGGTGGTCTCAAAAGTCAGTGAATTGGATGAAAAATATCGAGGTAAAATACAAAATAAAATGGCTATATTCTAAAGAAAGATTTAAAATTATTTGAGAGGAAAATAGACAAAAATGAGATCTAATATAAACTAAATTTGAAACAAGTTCATGTTTTCGAAATAGAATAAAAATAATTTTCCAAACCTTCCAACTAACCCTCTAGGCTAAAATTCAATACTGAACTCATAAACCGGGGTTTTGGGGTTTTGGGGTTTTGGGGTTTTGGGG